ATATACCATAATTTGTTTATCCATTGGTCAGTTGATGGGCACCTAGGTTGTTTCCATCTTTTTGCTATTGTGAACAGAGCTGCAGTGAACATGGGTGTGCATATATCTATTTGTGTGATGGCTCCTATTTCTCTAGGATATATTCCAAGGAGTAGGATTGCTGGATCTTATGGTACTTCTATTTATAGCTTTTTAAGGAAGCACCAAATCGATTTCCGAAGTGGTTGTACCATTTTACAGTCCCACTAGCAGTGTATAAGAGTTCCAGTCTCCCCACAACCTTTCCAACATTTATTATTTTGTGTTTTTTGGATTAATGCTAGCCTTGTTGAGTCCTTTTCTTTCATAGCATTTTGCACAATTAAAAAGGTTTCAGACACTGAATTGATGATTTGACTTATAATTTAATAAGAAAATAGTATGAAGTGCAGATAAAGTTTAATTGGTACCTCATGAAATGCAGCTAAAGATAGAATTATTTAATGTCTCAGGATTAAAAGAAAAAATCCTAAATGAGTAAAATCCAGTACATTAGTACAATGTGCTATTATTACATATCCATTAAAACGATTTTGAGGATTTCTGTTTATTATTGTTTTGGTTTTGTTGTTTAGCAATATGTTCAAACTGTTAAATGGCTGGAATGGAGTCTCATAGGATGTGAGAAAACTACAAATATTTAATTTTGTGCACTTTCCTTCTTTATCCCCCTACGTATGATTATTATGCTTACCCAGAATTGAGTGCATACCATTCACCTATCCGCTAAACATAATTCTAGATAAATACTCTGCTTACTAGTAAAATATGTCTAAGGAAGTAAAAAAATTCCAATTTTTTCTTGATGTCTACTTCAATTTTTAAATATAAAATTCTTTCCGAAAATTTATTTTTGGTACATTGACTTTGTGGGTGCCATCAGTATATTCTTGGTCTACCTGTTTGGGTAATCCTCCTTCCCAGTGCTCATTCTTCCCTTCTCTTGAAACTAGTAAGAGGGGTGGGAATGGTCATCAGAGTGTGAGTTATGATTAGTATGGGAAACCTCAATAAATCTTCCCTAATTCCTGGGGGGGAAAAGAAGTTGACACATACCTGTTTCCTTTGAACCACATCTCTTCCACTAGACTGAAAGCTCCTGAAGATAGAGACCATGTCTGTTTAGATTTTCACTATTTCCCTAGTGCCTAGCTCAGTGCTTGGTACTGGATAAATATTTTTCTAATGAATATTGAGACCTTAAAATTGTGGAGCACTTTGTGACTTTCAGAGAGTTTTCACACATATTCTCAGTTAATCCTTATAATCACTCTCGAGATATTTCAGGCAGAGTAGATATTAATGTTTCTATTTCATAGAAGGGAAGACTTTGAGAGAGTGACTTGGCCAAGTCACACAGCTGGTGGGGCTTGGGTTGGAAGTCAAGCCTTTTCATCATTTAGATGAGATAGTATTAGGAATCTGTGTGGATGCAGAGTACGCAAACAGTGTGCCTAGGAAAGTGTCTCATAGTCCTGATTCTTAGAACTACTTTGTTATCTTTCGTTTTCATTTATACTGTCTATAATCATTGGCTGCATTTTCCATAGTGTGGTGATGTGCTGTATTTTCAGATGGCGGAAAAAGAGATCCAGCTCTGTGTTAATTTATAAATACAAAAGGTGAACTTAAGCCCACTGCCCAAACTAAAAGAAGGCAGAATGTATTTTTAAATTTAGAAACCGGGTCTTTCCTTCACAGAGTCAGAACGAATATATTGCTCACCTCAAGGACCAGTTGCAAGAGATAAAGGCAAAAACCAACATGGAGAGTTGCTATACGAAGAAAAATACCGAGCTGCAGATCGCTCAGGCCCATAAAAAATTTAACAAGGCAGAGGAACTCCTGCTGGAGGAGATTGAGGTAATTACTGCTACATTGAGAATGAACCGAGTAGATGGAACTTGAACTGTCACTTCTGATATTGGCTCAGCTAACGACGGAGGAGGGAGAGGGAGAGTTTCCTGTCTTTGTTCTCTCTCTCTCAGAGTCCCAGCGCTTGAGGTTGGAAATAAAAGACCAAACGAGGACTTGCATATGTGGAAGCAGAGATTCTGATGAGCTAGCTGTAGCCTACATATTCTGTTTCTCTTACACTGACTTTGGAAATTGGTTGTACTTTCTCCCATGGGCACTTTATCCTTATTTTATAAAACCACTAGCCATTCCTCCTGGTAATTATAGGGAGAGGACAAAACAAGATACCTAAGTAACTTAGCAGGTTTTTGCTGTTGCTTGCTCACCCAACCAGTACCTTTTATTCCTGCAGTAAGAAATACAAAATTTAGAGGCCTGTTT